CATCTTTTTTTTGGTTTTTGGTTTATCTGAGCATTTCGAAGAATTCTGTTTCATCGAAGGAATCTTGAGCATTCACAAATCGCAATACATGACTTGTATATATATATATCACATTCGCAAAACGATGATTATAAGGGTACACGATACCTATATCGTCATCATGATGCAAATAGCATGAACCCTCTCCTCGCCCCTCCTACTCCTTTTTCTTCCCCCCCCCTTTCATGCCACCACCTCCTCCTCCTCCCCCTCCTCCTGTCTAATTCCCTTCAGTTTGGAGAAATCACCGTGTTGTGATGCTGCCACAAGCTCTGTCTGTAAAAACCTGTTGTGTAAGCCTAAGTAACATTGATTTAGGAGAGTAATTGATTATATGAAGTTGGTATACATGTATTATTGCATTGTACTTGTCACAATATCCATGACGGTGCAACCTGGCGTAGTTCCGGTACTTCATATAGTGCACCGTTTGACCCTTTCTGGTTAATGAAGGACAAAGGGGATAAAGTAGCTCGCCCACTAAAGTGTAGCGAGAATTGTTGTGTTTTCCGCGTCATTTTGTAGCTCTCATGGTGGGCACAGTGCAAGGAAGGTAGAGGGCAAAGAGAGGCGGTCACGATACACTGCCAGGTCTATAGTGTGGTCAAAGAGAGGCGGTCATGAGACAGTGCCAGGTCTATAGTGTGGTCAAAGAGTGGCGGTCATGATACAGTGCCAGGTCTATAGTTCCAGGTCTATAGTGTGGTCAAAGAGAAGCGGTCATGATACAGTGCCAGGTCTTTAGTGTGGTCAAAGAGAGGTGGTCATGATACAGTGCCAGGTCTATAGTGTGGTCAGAGAGAGGCGGTCATGATACAGTGCCAGGTCTATAGTGTGGTCAAAGAGAGGCGGTCATGATACAGTGCCAGGTCTAGGATATTGTAATTCATATTTATGGAAATAAGGAAAAATCTATGGCTGGGAACAGCAAGAACGACAGACACCGTCGCTGCAACGCAAGACAGAGTGAAGTGGAGGTCCATGTTCGCCCACGCCAGTCGGCAAGGCACCGGATGATGATGAAGTAGCAGAGAAAACTGATAATTGAGAGTAGAGAATGGAAGCTGGAAGTGAACTCACGCTGTGCCTAAGTTACTCATAGTGTAAATACAAACTGAGTTATTGGGGCATATGTAACTAGTTCCAGGAGTCAGGACCCTCTATAGGGTAAAGGCCTCAAACTCACGGCCCGGGGGCCAATAGCGGCCCGTAGGTAGATAGATGTTGTAATAAGCTTATATTGTTCTGCTCGTAAACTGATTTTGGCATCTAAGTTATGTGTTGGTGCGGCCTGCACGTGCATCTGACGCGCACCATTTTTTAAAAACCGAGGTGTTGCTTTGAATTTTAAAACATATTTTTAGTTACTCATGGCCTACCATAACTCTAGTCTGTGACAACTTCCGCTGGTGTTTGTTTATGTGTTTTAAACGTTGTTTCATAGTAGCCTAGTAATACC